AGGAAGGAAGGAAGGAAGGAAGGAAGGAAGGAAGGAAGGAAGGAAGGAAGGAAGGAAGGGTGAACCAGGCTGTGGTGGTGGCGCACGCCTGTAATCCCAGCACTCAGGAGGCAGCAGCAGGTGGATCTCTGTGAGTCTGAGGCCACTCTGGTTTATAAGAGCTAGTTCCAGGACAGTCAGAGCTACACAGAGAAACCCTGTCTTGAAAAACCAAAACCAAAAAAAGAAAAAGAAAAAGACAGAGAAAAGAAATTGATCTCTAAGTCTTATAAGTATTATGTTTAGTACATACAGAAGCTAACCCTTTGCTTTGCAATAAAGCTTGTATATATTTTGTTAATTGTGATAGGAGGGTCATGTGTTGGGTTTGTTTGTTTGTTTGTTTGTTTGTTTTTCCTTCTTAAGAAATCTTTTGATGCATGCCTAAATTGCCAAGGTCTCTCCTATGCTTTTACTTGCTTATTTGTGTAAGACAGGGTCTCACTATGAGCTCTAGGCAGGCCTTGAACCCCTTATCCTTCCACCTAAACCTTCCAAGAGGCTGGGATTATGGCCGTTCACCACCTTACCTGGTCATTTTTGAAAACAGCAGCTTCAAGTATGGGCGAAAGGCAAACATCGTGGTGCATGTCTATAATCCCAGCACTCAGGGGACTCAGGCAGGAGGATTGATAATTCCAGCCCAGCCTGGCCTATATAGCAAGACTACATAGATAAACCAGGTAAGGTGGCACATACCTTTAGTCCCAGAACTCAGGAGGCAGAGGCAGGTGGATAACTATGAATTTGGTCAGGGCCAGCCTTGTCTGCACACCAAGTTTCAAGCCAGCCAGAGCTTGACCCTAAAAACAGTGGGTAGAAAACGGAGAGGGGGTAACCTTCTCTCCTTTCGTTACCGTATCAGTCAGGATGGGTTAGGGCACACTAGCCACATCCAGTGGACACGGACACACACGCACACACAAATGGTTGTTTTTCTCTTGGCTACACGTTCATTTTTGCAGTTTGGCCAGAGGCTCTGTTCTGCATAATCAACCATGGGGACAGAGGCTGCCCCATTCTGTGAGTACATTGCTAGAACATGAGGCCTCTGAATCACAGGACTGGGAAGACAGAGTACAGAGTGACCCGCAATTATCCTCTGCCTCGGTTCAAAGGTGAAGCTTCACTTCTGCTTAGGTCTCCCGGTTCACCTAATCCAGGACTACAGTGCTGAGTGAGCTCCATTGTCTCCTCTGCCATCCTGTTTACTCTTTCCTCTCTGGGACTGCCTACTCTCTGTTTACCTTCCCAGGAGTGTGGTATGGCCATTTTCTGAGGCTCCCTGGGCCAGAGACAGCAATTCTGGTTGCGGTGTTCTCTTCCTGTGCGCAGGCACACTGCTCGTGGGCCACACACTCTTTTTTCTCCTGAGCTCAGACTCAGCATCTGAGCTGCATCATCACTGGGAAGGAAGCTCACCTGCCTGAAGAACTTCTCCAGACCCTGTCATTATGATTCTCAGTCCATGGGTTGCACCAGATATCTTACATATCAGATATTTACATTATGATTCATAACAGTAGCAAAATCACAGCTATGAGGTATCAGTGAAAACAGTTTTATGGTTGGGGGTCACCATGACATGAGGAACTGTATTAAAGGGTTGCAGCATTAGAAAGGTTGAGAACCACTCCCCTAGGACATGGAGCAGCCTTCTGGCTCCTTGTCTGGGGCTCCACTGCTTGCTCAGGGGTGCACAGAGACCAGCAGGTGTCTGATCCTTGCTGTTTTCTGTGTGACTCACGAGTGGCACCTCATCTGGTGACTCTAGTGTTGCCAGGACTCCTGGGCTCTGGTGTTTTCCCTTCAACTTTTACCACTTTGATCAGAATAAGAACAATCAAAGGAAACTTGACTTCCTTCACAGTAAACGCGGGCACTACTCACAAAGCGAAAGAAAGGAATCTTTAGGGCTCAAACAGAAAAAAACAAAAAAGCAAAAAAAAAAAAAATTAAAATTAAAAAAACAGATCTGAGCCCAGACGTTTCATGAACTCATTAAACACACACACACAGTCAAAACAAAACAAAAAGTCTTTTCCTTAAAAAGAAAGAAAATATCATTTTCTTCAAAGATTAAACAAAATAAAATCTCACTAGGAATATCTAGAACGTTCAGCCTCTTAGCCCTTAAAACTCGGCTCATCCTTTTGTTGCTCTCAAGCTTTGTCTTTGGCCCCTGGGGTCTCGGGTAAAAGATATTTTAGAAAATAGAGAAGTTGGGACCAGTCGCTGGCTTCCTCGTATTTCCCCCCAAGCCAGTTCCCAAAACTCCTTCAAGTCCCCTCGGTCTACAAAGTGAAGATTTGTTCTCTCTACACCAACAGCCGAGAAGTCGCCCTGGAAAGCAGTTTTCACTACTGTCGCTGTTTGGAACTGGCTCCGCAGACGTAAACAGGGTCAACTGGGGCCAGAGAGGGTGGGTGTTTCGTTTTAAAGCTCTGGTTAAGAGTGAAAGCATGTGACTTCAGTGGGGCCAGAAACAAGGGAGCCTTTGTGTGCACCAGCAAAGCCAGCAAGTGCAAGTGAGCGACAATCCTGAGGCTACACACAGGGGCCGCGGCAGCACAGAAGGCTGAAGCTGGTTCCAAGGCTCTGGTTGGACACCACTAGGGGCAGATTAACTCTTTACTGCAAGTCCCAGGTTTTCTTGAGACCAGCAGCGTTTCTTGGAGGTGGAAGGGGGTTGTAGGGAGGAGATGGAGACAGAGATGGGGCGCGGGGCGAGCTTGCAAAGGAACACGGTATTCCTATACCCAGCTGAGAGGCAGCCCAGAGCCGTTAGAACGGTGTCTGGGGTGTTTGGATGGACTCACCGCCGCGTCTCCTCGTCTTCACATCTAAACAGCTGCAGCCTTGCTCCCTGGATCCTCTGTTCCTGCGTGGCCAAGAGACCTGAAGAATTCTGCATGACAATCCTAGCCCCTCAGCGACCTTGATTCTTCCCAGGAGGGGAGAATTGATAGTTGGGCAGGCCACTGCTGGAGGGAAATTGGCAGGCTGCTGACTCAGCCTACCCTGGCTGCACCCTCAGGCACCAGCAGCCGCGCGCACCAGCTTCTAAGGACCTGTGGAAACAGGGCAGGCATGGGTTCTGCTCATGGTCCCCCTGCACAAGGTAGGTGGTCCACCACCTTGTCTGCGCTGCTTACAGTTTACCTGCCCTATGGCTAGAGTGTGTCCTTCCCCCAGCGGCTCCTCAGCCCAGGGTTTGCTGCATGGAGCCTTGCTGAAGTGAGACAAATTTCCTGAAAGTCTCCAGACCTGACTTCGACACCAGGAAGAAAGGAAACGGCTCAGTTTTGCCGTACAGAGCTGAGTCTCGTGGACCGCTCAGGGCTTCAGAAGAGAAGCCGGCGGCGGAGGTCGCCTTGAACACCATGTCTTTAGCGATCATTGCTTCACTCCACTCATAAGGAGTCTTCACACCCTTCTTCCAGAGATTTCTGAGCTCCTTGTCAAGGTCTTTCCTAGGAGTACCAGTTACCGCAGGCCCCACCAGGCCCCATCAGGGACCTCCAATCTATCTAGGCATGTCCAGAGCCACTCAACCAATCAACCAATCATAATCCGTTGATGATCAAGAAAATGGTACCTAGGTGGGCGTAGCGACCCACGTCTTTTACTGCAGCACTTGGGAAGCAGAGACAGATGGGTCTCTCTGAGTTTGAGATTAGCCAGAGCTACATAATTCAACCCTGTCTTGAAACCCCCCCTGCAAAAGAAAATGGTGCCAGATGTCAGAGATGGCTTAGTGGTTGGGAGCAGGTGCTGCTCTTGCAGGTGACCCAGGTGCCTTTCCCAGCACCCACATGAAACTCCAGTTCTAAGGGATCTAGCGCCCTCTTCTGGCTCCTAGGAGTCCCAGGCATGCATATAGTGCACACAAATGCAAGCAAAACACTCACACCCAGAATAAAAGAAACCAATCTGAAAGGAGAGAGAGAGAGACAGAGAAACAGAGAGAGAGAGAGACAGAGAGAGAGAGACAGAGACACAGAGAGACAGAGACACAGAGAGACACAGAGAGAGAGAGGAGAGAGAGAGAGAAAGAGAGAGAGAGATCACTCTTCTCTACACCCCGGAAGGGAAACACTGAAATTTCATATTTAGAATGAACAGCTGTAGAACATTGAATTGACTCTGTTCTGGCCCTGATATCAGCAAAGAGGCTCACAGCTTTGATCCTACCAGATTCAGAACTGGAGGGTTTTTCTGTGATTCTGTTTAGAATAGTAGCCAACTCACTTGAGTATATTCACATTTTCAGAGCCTCTGAAATTGGTGCCTGGGGCTCAGGGGCACTTGGTAAATGTGTGTTAGAAATGAGGTAACCACCGGGCATTGAACCCTCTCCACTTCAAAGTCAGAATCATGGGGCATAACCCTGGGCTCACTCAGGTGACAAACAAAAAAA